CAATGAACGGAGATAATGTCCCGTGATTGCTGCAGCTCTACCGAGTGTATTCCATCAAATCCCGGTGATTTGTACTAAGCAATAAAAAAATATGTAGTATAGGACCTATTCGAATGCATATAAATAAAAGACTTAAGTTTATTATAGGTAAAATAACCTTTTTTATTAATTCTAAACTACAGTGTAGTCAGAAAATTCTTCTTCTTTCGTACAACGTATGATTGCTAAATGACTAAAATTATAGCACAACACTTTCATTATATTTTAATCAATAATGTTAAGCGTTTTTGCAAAACGTTTTGTTAAACAAAAACGCCTAAAATTAACGATAAAAACAAAATAAAAGTGTTGTGTTATAATTCGTAATATGTTTTTTACAGTGTGGAGAATGAAAGCAAAATCGCACATTCTACGAAACAAGCGCAGATTTTACGAAAGTAATATCATTAAATATACGAATTATTTCTGTGCATTTTACAAAAAATTCGTAAAAAATAAAGAAATAGTACGAATTCTTTTAGTAAATAGTACGAAATTCTTTAGAAAAAAGAACTAAATTCTTTAGTAAATAGTACGAATACATTCGTAAAATGTACTCAAAATTTTATGCCTCATATTTTCGTGGTATGTAAGAAAACGGTTTTGTACAATCAACGAAAACATTCGTGGCTCAAAATGACGAAAAATTTCGTAAGATTTACGCAAGTTCTCGTTATATTTACGCAGATTTTATTTTCAGTGTAAGTAACGCCAAAATTCAGGAAGGGGTTGTTAATGGTCCGGACATACGGAAACTAATGAGTCGTCAAGATTTTGACCAAGTTCTGACAGACCGAGAATTAAATGCATGGCTCGCATTGAAAGCAGTCATTAAAGGACTTTTGGGTAAAGAGCGCAAAGGCAGCTTTCGATGAAATTGGGGTTAATATGTCGTACAAAATTCATCTCTTGCATCAGCATTTTGATCAACTCGCTCAACAGTTGCCAACTGAATCTGATGAGCAAGGCGAAAGTTATCACCAAACTGCGCTTCCATTTGAAATAAGGTAACTATAGAGTGTGCATATTTTGAATTCCTAGATTTTTCTAATATCTTTGTCAGAGTGCACAATTTAAACATGTTAACGATTGAAAACTATTTTCGTTTCAGGTACAGAGGAAAGAAATCTCCAGATGCAGGAAAACGCAAGTTGCGTTTTCTGATTGTTTTCTTTTCAAATGAAATTTATTGAAGAAACTGAGAAGCATATTATAGATCAATCAGAAAGCAAAAAAGACTTAGTTTTGTGGAAAATATGTTCAAATAGCATAAAAAAAAAATATCCAAAATTTTGCTTCATAAGCACTACAAAAATTTTATAAATCAATTTTTTTTTTAAATTTCAATTGTTGCGCATGTCTCTAGCAATAATTTGGCTTTAACAGATTGAACATATAACAATTAGTCGACGAGTTATAGCCAGTGTTGCCAAACATGGGCTTTTCCTACCAAAACTGGTAGGTTTTTTTCCAATTGGTAGGTTGGTTGGCTTGATTGGATTTTGGTAGGTTTCGGGACAATGAGTAATAGTAATTTGTGAAAAATTGAAAATATGTACGTATCTCCAAATATTTTAGCAACCTTTTTTACACAAATATTTCACCGGTGCGTTCGTATTATTGCAAATATGCAATACGGACATCCATATATCGTGACCTAAGCATGAAAAGGTGCCAAGTCCATTTTTAGAAATTGTTCAGGAGAGAAGAAAAATCTATGTAGTTTCGTATTATCTGTTATTCTGCATCAAAAACTAAATTTTGAAAAAAAATGGACTTGGCACCTTTTCACCTTTAGGTAGCGTTATAATTTATGGCGTACTTGGACCAAGATTAAAGAAAAGTCTGCCAATGGGCTCGTACTCAACCATATTTCAGGCGGAAGTCTTCCCAATCGAAGTCTGTGTTCGCGAATGTCATCTTAGAAGGCAAATGAGGCCAGAATAAATATTATGTCGGACATTCAGGCGGTGTTAAAGGCCTTAGAGTCTTTTAAAACGGCATCAAGGCTTGTAAACTCTTGAACCACCTGCGAGCCCACAATAGCGTCACGCATGAAGGGTTGACTGTCTCGCAATGCGTGAAGCCCAAACGCGTTTACATAGTCCCTAGCCTTTCTGTGGTACATCTAAAGGATACACTGCAGACCTACTTAGGAGCTAGCTGGGAATAACCTCAAATTGCTGCCTACTGGCGGAAGTCAAAGGGAATAAGACAATCAAAGATATGTATAACTCTTTCCAGCAGGAACTCCAAAAGACACCTTGAACCTAGAACTCTTGCTGGCATCCTGATAGCACACTGAATGTTAACGTACGGTTTTAATTAAATGAGTCTTTCTGTAGAGACGGACTGTAGGGTTTGTCGGCTGGTGAAAGAAACCCCAGAGTATATTCTATGTGCCTGTCCACGAAGCATGAATCGTAGATTGATACACCTTGGAGAACGATTGCCTTCTCCATCTAAAATTTGGAACATGGCCTCATCCAAAGTGCTGAGCTTTTTAAATAGCCTAAGGTTGGAGTGATTACAATTCTGATTTAGCACAATATATCTTCTTAGGTCGCAGCGCGGGTATCTTCGACGTAATAATAATAATATCGTCACTAGACACGAATAAAGAGCTCGGAAAAACTCTTTGGGGAGAAATATTAGTTTAAGAAGAAAATGTAAAACATTTATCTAAGAAGTAAAATTATTCTTATTTTTTCAGTTACATAACTAAATTATTAATTTTTTTAAATTCCTACTTGCTATGAAAAAATTTAAGTTTGTGATCGTAAACGTAATAGAATTGACTATAATTTATAACTATAAGTTTCATTTAAATGTTATCTAAAAAAACATTTATTGACATTTTAAAATGGTCACGCGTGCATTGGTGTAAAAAAAGAGCGCGTGCGCTCTAGTGTTAAGTTTTTCTTTTGTTTTTTCGAGCTGTTTCCAAGAATATTTCCCAATGTTTTAGTGCTTTTCTAAGCGCCTAAAATTGATTTTTTTGTTTCACATTTTGTTCGGGCCTGAAGATAAGAAACTTAAAAAAAAAAATTAGGCACATTTCTTTTCATTTCTGGCGCCATATTGGATAGCCCATTTTGATTTTTGTTATTTTGACTCCAGATTCCAATTAAGCTATCCCAAAAACTCTTAAATAATATAATAATAAACCAATTTTATTATTATTTTTTACATAAAATATTTTTTTTTTTAAAGATTTTAGGCACCATATTGGATCGGTCGTTTTGTTTTTTGTTCTTTTGACTTCAGATTATTTTTGGGGTATCAAGTATCACTGTGTGCTTCAAATTATTGTTATACTAACAGTTTAAACTAGTGTTGGGCAGTATCGATACCAAAAGTACTCAGACTCGATTTTAAAAGTATCGATACTAAGTACTTCAAAGAACTCAGTACTCAAAAAAGAACTCGAAAGTACTCAGTACTCAAAAATACTCTGTTCTCAGGATCGATTCAGTATACTCAGTATTAAGTATCGAATAGATACTTAAAAGTACTGAGTGTTGTTTACATTTTACGGGTATTCAGAAATGATTGTACTCAATTTGAAGTTTCAATAGTTTTCAAGTACAGTACTACTTTCAATAAAGTGCTGCTAGCTTGTGAGATTTCTACACTAATTCTGAAATAGGGCGTTTTTGAAAAGTTTTTTGAGATAGGGCGTTTTCGAACTGGCTGCCGAGATAGGTAGATCTTCCACTCAGCAGTCGAAATAAGAATATTATAAATTTTTGGAAAATGGGCGTAGCCACGCCCACTTATGGTTACATGTGTATATCTTGGTAATAGCTTCACCAATTTCTTCCGAACTTAGCACAGTTGTTGGCCTTGATACAACATACCAAATGGCCGAAAATTTTTAAAATCGGACAATAACCACGCCCACATCCCAGATAACGGTAATTTAGGGAAATACGAAATACATCTGTAAATATTTAAGCTAATTTATTCAAAATTGATGCTTGCAACAATTCGTTACAAAGAAATACATCTATGATAAATATTTGGAAAATGGGCTTGGCATCGCCCACTTATGATCACATATATATATGTATCTCGGTAACCGTGTTATTGTGCTTTCCACATAAAAGCAAAACGTTGAAAATTATTGAAATCGGACTAAAATTACGGCCGCTTTTCATATAATGGTAAATTTCAGAAATGCTTGAAANTATAAGTTTATCTCATTAAGTCTAACTGAACGTTCTATCGAAGATGTTTAGAATAGGGGTAAAACCACCCGGGCTTACCACGTAGCGGTAGTTTTCGGAAAAGTGGAAAACATATATTTAATACTTGCGCCGGGGATTTAATGTTCGGCTCCGCCGGTTTCTTACTTGTTGTTTTTGTATACCTGCTATCAGCTTATATTAATATTAATATTAACGTTTGTGATAAAAAAGGCAACATTATCGTTCCAAAGAAGGTCCCCTTATAGGAAAAAAAAATTTTTTGAATTTTTTGTCATTTTAATGTAAATAAGGTAGAATTTGTGAGGGAGTTTTTGCTCTGTGCGCACCCATATGAAATATATAAAAAGCAATTTACGAGATATTTGTTGTCCCTAAATTACTGGCATACATTTTCCATGAACATTTTAGCGAACCCGTTTCAATAATATTTAAAATAGTGTTTACCAACCTAGGCTATTTTATTGCGGAAGTCGAGCCTTCTTAGTATTTTTTTTTCAGGGATTAGTTATATCTTGTGTCAAACAACTTTATGGTTCTATAATATCTACACATCTATGTTGTGTTTAGGGGTTAACATATTGTAAAAAAATTACATTAGAGTAACAAAGCCGTACATAGTTACAAGAGCATGCCGCTAATCCGCCAATCTTGGCCTTCTCGAAGAGATAAGATTGAATGAAGGCTACCACAGCGCGTATATAAAAACGACGTTGCAAACTGCAGAGCTATTTATACAAAACAAATTCTAACATGGCAAACAACGTTTACTTGTCAACTATTTTGGTCTTCATCATCATCGTTAGTGTGAAATCAGACACTGGCACAACGAACACAACTCTACAGCCTGAGCAGCCCGGTGGGCGCATTGTAGGTGGTTACGATGCTGACATATATCAGTTTCCATATCAAGTTTCGGTGCAATTGGAAAGACTACATCGTTGTGGCGGTGCCGTATATACCTCAACTATCATCGTCAGTGCGGCCCATTGTGTTGAGCTGGCGGACATGCCGGAACTGTATGCTGTACGAGCTGGTTCGACGGAGCATGGGAGTGGCGGTGTATATATGCCAGTGCGCCGCATCCTTAGACACGCCCAATTTCAACCACAGTATCAGATCAGCCACGATATAGCTTTGTTGGCTTTAGCTTTTCCGTTGCCATTTGGCATCAGTATACAACCTATACCGCTTGCAACGAGAGCGGATATGACAAACTTGATGAGTACCATATGGTTCGTTAGCGGGTGGGGTGCAACTTCGGAGGGATCGCAAGTAAGAGCGGAACGCTTGCGTTATGTCGCCGTTAAATACTTCGATCAGAGTTACTGCAAGGCGACTTTAGCTTCAGCAGTTTCCATAGCAGAGGGAATGTTGTGTGCAGGTGTGCCGGGTGGTGGACGTGATAGCTGCCAGGGCGATTCCGGTGGACCATTGGTGGGCTACTGGCGTGGACGTCTGATATTAGTAGGAATCGTTTCGTTTGGCGTCGGCTGTGGAAGAGCAAACTACCCTGGCATCTATACGCGCGTAGCAGAGTATAAAGACTGGATCGAGCTGGCGTCGAAGACAATTTGAAAACAAAGGTCTTTAAAACTCCTTCAGCAGAACTGTTTCTTCAACAAAATACTATTCACATATTGGTCATTATTACGAGTATAGTATGTATTAAATATTTTATTTATTTTTTATCCTTTCGATTATTAAATAGATATGTATGAATTTGTCTAACAATTCCAATGTGGGCAACACTGGGGGTAGGGTTTGCTCAGATCGACAGGTACAAAATTGCAGTGCTTCGGAGCGTAGGCATTGGGACATCTAAAATGAATTTAATTGTAATCTGCATATATAAGCACACATATTTAAAGGGTAGGTTATCGGTGGTTTTTTTTTTTTGTGAGTTACTAACATTTCGCGTTTTAAGAATTCTAAGAAAATCTTCACATTACCAAATTAGCACTTCGAGGCATTCAAAACTTATTTTAAAGGTAGATACAGATTACGATAGCCAGTAACTACTTGTCTGGAATAAAAATTTTAGCTAAATTAATTTCTTATTCAAATGCGAAAAGTTGCAAGGAAATTAAATGGACAAACAAATTTTGGTCAAACAAGAATGGCACCCAATGACGCAGGAGCCCGGTACTAGTAGGAAAAAAAAAGAAACCAAAGACACGATGATCCACCCCTTATTTGTTATATAAAACTATGTACATATTTCTATTTTTCTTACGCTTTCACTTCAAAATCATCATAACTGGCGCCTTTGCAAACAATTTGACTGCATTTACCAGGCACTGACTTGGTTTCCCCTGTCTTCAAAACTGAACCATAAACATCACAATTTCCTGTAAATATGTATAAGAAGTTTAATTGAGACAATCTGTGCTTCTTAAAATGTTTTATTAAAAGTTGTTTTGTAAGTGCAGCTTAATACAACCACTTCGCTTACCTTCAGCGCTCAACAGAAAATATAAGCCAAACACAAGCAAACAGATTATCAGTCTCAGCATTATATCAGATTCGCCTACTGATTCACAATGCAAATTTTTATCACAAAACAATTTTTCTTCAAATAAAATGCTTTACGTAACCAAGCTCCGTACTTGATGCTATACGACTAGACGGTTTTAAATGCTGCTAAGCTTTGCCTAAATGCTCATCCGCATTAGGCGACCTTTATGGACTAATATTGAGTGATACATATCTACATACACACGTATGCATATACATATGTATGTACCCTGGCGGAAATTGAACTAAGTAATTTTAAAGTCGTTTAAAAATTTCTTTTTTTATGATCTACAAGTGGTTTAAATTGTCACTTTTTTTCTTGGTAACAACTGATTTTTCTAACATGGCGATCTCAATTGTCCGACTCTGCATTTAATCTCAAGCACTTTGACATTGGTACGACTTTAAGAACCAAGTGTGGTGTTTGCTCACGCTGCTCAAACAGCTTTAATAGCTGAGAGGGTAGATCGCCGAGTGCCATGAAAGAGGTCGTGAGTTTGAATCTCACCAGGAGATAAAAGTTTC